CTCATATGTTGGATAGTGGCAAAATTCATTTGGTAGTGTGAGATTGGATGAAAAATTATAAGGTTCGTTCTCCCAACCACAACTCGGATAACTAGTTACAACATAATGATCGGGGTAAAAATTTTCAGGGCCCAGTATTGAAATTGATCATTCACATCCAAAGTCTTAAACCGTATAATTTAAAGGGCACTCACTAGTGATGTGCTCATACTCATCACAAATGTCGCTCACATTTTCAAAATTTGGGACATTTAACACATTTTCATAAAAATTACGAAACATTACATAAAACACAAACAACAAAAAACTATTTACAATCGAGATGACATACCTTGGCCCGTGATGAAAATCACTAGACTTACCTCTGTCGTCCCAAATCACCTTCCAAACTTGACACGACGCAAAAAATGCTTGGATGATTTTCCCTAATCTCCAAACACGAACTCAGACTTTGTGTAGAAGTTGGTGAGTATCACTCTTCCTCGGGCTCCATGCAAGAAATGAGAAAATCGTGTGTGTGAACAAAAATGTATGTGTGCAAAAGTGCTCCCCAAGTGTAGAGAAACTTGCAATGTTGTGTTTTACTTGGAATTAGTATTCCAAGGTCATCTCCTCAGGGAAGGAAAGGACAAGTGTTTTCAAAAGTGATTTGTGAAATGAAAAAATAAAAATTATTGTGATTTGAAGTTTGGTGATTTGTGTTTTGAGAAATATGCAAGTAAAAAGAGGNTCGGTAGTTCGTATCGAGCTACCGATAGTTCGGATACACTGGCAACCTGCTACCTGTTGAGCTACCAGTAATTCGGAACTACTGGACATTTACTACCTGTTGACTACCGGTAGTTCGGATCCACTCGCCACTGACTACCTGTTGACTACCGGTAGTTCGAATCTACTGGACAGCGTACTACCNTCAATGCGTATGTCAAATCGACTCATTTCATTCAACCAATAACCACGTCCGCACTAGTCAAACCAAAAGTTTTACACTACGAGGGAGAATGAAAGAGAGTCAATTTCACATACCCAATAGGAAATCCTTCTTGGATTAGCCAACTAAAGGTTTAGCTATGCATGGTANCCAATGCGTATGTCAAATCGACTCATTTCATTCAACCAATAACCACGTCCGCACTAGTCAAACCAAAAATTTTACACTACGAGGGAGAATGAAAGAGAGTCAATTTCACATACCCAATAGGAAATCCTTCTTGGATTAGCCAACTAAAGGTTTAGCTATGCATGGTAAAGGCAACAACAAACATGAAACAAAAAAACATGATAAAGAAATCAAACATGAACTTGCATTAATGTAAGGAGAAGTTCAAACTACAAAAGAAATAGCATTCATACACAAAATGTAAAGCTTAAAGAAAAAATACCCAATACAAGCAATAAAACTAGTAAACCCTAGCTATACTCAATACAACTTGAAATAAAGGTGATTAAAGTGCTANAAAAATACCCAATACAAGCAATAAAACTAGTAAACCCTAGCTATACTCAATACAACTTGAAATAAAGGTGATTAAAGTGCTAGAAAGAAAGATTACATGTAGATTGAAGCTTACAAGAATGAAAATGGTGAAGGAAAAGCAAGAATCCTAGCTTTCTCTCTCTACACTACTCCTATGCTTAGGTAGCTTCCTTCTCTTTCTAAAAGCTTGATCATCTCAAAATGTGTGTAGGAGAGCTCTTTATTTTTGTTTATCCCCTTCTCTCTTAGCATGAGTGGTTGACTTAGATTGCTTGTGGGCAGAGATTGTCCAAAAAAGCTTCCAAAGTCTGTCAAAGCATGGTTCTCCCATGCTCTTCCAACCACCCTTCTTCTCTCTCTTGCTTCTCCCATCTCTCTTACTTCAAATCTGAATTTAGGGGTTAAGAGAGCATTATGGGGTGTTAAAACATGTCAGGTTATGGTTTAGAGGACAAGAGGTGGGCCCCCTAAGTTGGTGGAGTCATGTGGGGAAGTATCTATGCTTTTTGGGCATGTTCTACAGGAAGAACGTAGGACTTCAACCGCTAGAAAACTTCTAGTAGGGTCTTCTACCGATAGGTCTTGCATGTCTTCTACCGGTAGGTCTTTTCGTAAATTTGTCATAACTTTTGATCCCACCGTCGTAAATTTGTCATAACTTTAGATTGAGCTACAATTTTGACACAAGACAAAGGATATCCAGATCTACAACTTTTATGTTTTTCACTTTTTCAGATTCGAAGTAGATCATGGTAAGAAATGGGGAATACCAAGGTACTGATAACAATGGTGTGGGTGCCAGTAACTATGTTACCAGGTACCGATACCTCCTTGATTTCTTTCACTTTTATGCTTCCAAATCCTCATGTAATGTGTCCATCTCTTCACCACTCATCCAAACTTAGTTGAAGGGTTTCGAAAGCCATCAATTACTCTATGATTACCTGCAACATCAAAAGTTTCACATTATTCACAAATTTGACGAACTCTAAGTAATTAAATGCAAAGTTGAGTTAAAATACATGTAATGAAGTCATTAAATATGCAATATTACGCACTCATCATTCTCACAAACGACGTCAACTGTAAGAGAAAAAAATATCTTAATGTAGCGGGGTTAGGATTGGATTGGGAAAACCGAACAAAGATTGCACCGTTCCTCCTGCAAAACGAGCAATTTGTTAGAGGTTAAGGTTACACTGGTCGGAGGCACTCCAATGNCCACAAACGACGTCAACTGTAAGAGAAAAAAATATCTTAATGTAGCGGGTTAGGATTGGATTGGGAAAACCGAACAAAGATTGCACCGTTCCTCCTGCAAAACGAGCAATTAGAGGTTAAGGTTACACTGGTCGGAGGCACTCCAATGCTTAAGTCAGTAATGACTCTAGCAATGAACAGGCAAAATAATAGAGAAGCGAGTGCGTACCTCTGACTCAAGCNTGTTAGAGGTTAAGGTTACACTGGTCGGAGGCACTCCAATGCTTAAGTCAGTAATGGCTCTAGCAATGAACAGGCAAAATAATAGAGAAGCGAGTGCGTACCTCTGACTCAAGCATTACCCAGTATTTATAATATCACATGACACCTTTTCTTCTAGGGGTTTCGCTGTTCGATATACTAGGTGGCATACCTATTCTTTAGCAGGATAATCCTTCATTGATGTTGGAGTATCTTTCCACGTTTTTTCTCATTCATTTATTTCTTAGGACTCATGATAATGTTTCACCTATGATTTGGACAACTTCCTTATCAGGTCGTCATTGCCTCTGATTCTTTAGAATAGCCAAACTATCTTTATTATAGGGTAGCTCTGAATAGAGCCCCAACCATTCTTACTGCTCAGCCTTGGCTATAAGCTCGGTTAGGCTAACAGTTCGACTTACTTTACCGAGCACTTCTAATAACTGCTAGGTTGATTGTGGCTCTTATTCGTTTTGTTCAGCTCAGCTAATCACGATATCTTTGTAATCCGAATAGCCAATGGTTAGTTCGGTTCTGTGGTTTAGTATGCTTTACCGACCTGCTGGGTGATTCAAGATCCGTCATCATATGGTTGGCCACATGACCTTTGTCATGTGCTTGTATGTACTATTTCAAATAATTAAATGTATAATCATGCACAGTTATTCTCCGCCTCTTCAAGTATCAAGGTCAACTAACTAAACCAAATTGATGGATTCCAAATTTGTATTTTTCAATTCATCTTCCACAATTCAACTTTAGTTTCAATATAAATACACTTGACCCAATGTACTCAAGAATCGACTCCTATGACAACGTAAATATGCCAATACAGCTACCATCACTAAACTGCAAAAGAAGTAACCTTATAGATAGTTGATTGCCTCTTAATTGCGATCCAATGTTCAGGTACAACTCCTCATCATTGAATTTTTGGTTTCCCGGAACCCCTGCAGAGACTTGAACATATGATTAACTGATCAATTAATAGCCGCCTACATGCTCGAGTTGGTAGCTCGGTCGGAGGTTATTGCTTTATGCAATTTTGTTTGCCTATCACAACTTTGAGATTAACTGACTAATTATACAATCCCCCGAAGATTGTGGATTAGATCAATTAATTTTAATTAGTGACTTATTTTCTAAATAGTTTTAGAAAACCCATTCATCTTCTCTGTCTGTCTTAGGGAAACTAACATCTATCGACTTTCAATTTTGTTGGACGTACGCATGCTGAGTTCGGATGAATAAATGCATATGTTAAACCATTCTTATATTGAATATTTACTCCTCCGCCAAGGTCTCCTGGAATGGGGAAGGGAAGGGAACTGAATTTTTTTAAAATGGTAACAGTTCGCTCCAGAAAACAATAAGTTGTTTGTTTTTTTTTTCTTTGATCTAATGTTGTTTGTTTTTCAGTCCCTTCACACAACACATACACGCATGGAAAAAATAAAAATGTATTATTCTTGGGACACATTGCTGCCATTTAAACAAAGCCCAGGTGTATCACAACTTCTAATATTNTAAATGGTAACAGTTCGCTCCAGAAAACAATAAGTTGTTTGATTTTTTTTTTCTTTGATCTAATGTTGTTTGTTTTTCAGTCCCTTCACACAACACATACACGCCTGGAAAAAATAAAAATGTATTATTTTTGGGACACATTGCTGCCATTTAAACAAAGCCCAGGTGTATCACAACTTCTAATATTTGAGGGCAAAGTGAGTTTCAAAATCTTTTAAAAGTCGTAATTCATCCTGAGAAATAAAGCACAAGGAGAACATCTGTTTCCGTAAAGTTTCAGGGAACTCTGTTTTTATACTGGTAGTCATCTTCTTCGTACATGGTAGTCATCTTCTACAAGATTTTGAGGCTTCAGTGGAGAAGTAATATCCTANTGTAATTCATCCCGAGAAATAAAGCACAAGGAGAACATCTGTTTCCGTAAAGTTTCAGGGAACTCTGTTTTTATACTGGTAGTCATCTTCTTCTTACATGGTAGTCATCTTCTACAAGATTTTGAGGCTTCAGTGGAGAAGTAATATCCTATTATTTTTCATTCTTCATCTCCACTACTGTCGATGACAATAAGAGCTTTTTTGCTTCTTAACATTTCTGAGGCTCCGCTTCCACTGACTTGTCCTTCATCCACAATATCATTGTCACAGTGATGTTTGGACTCATAATTCACAATTTCTTCAAGAATTCTGCTCCCATATTTCTGTGTTTTCAACTTTCCTATAATCTTCTCCAACTGCGAGAAACAGAAACAAAATTTGAGTTATAGCTGGATGACAAACAACTGCTATCGTTCAGGAATAAGAGATTACGGTAGTTTTATGCTCATAATATTTGCAGCAGATTAAATGTAAGCATGTGATGAATTCCTATGGCAGCAACACACGTAAGACAACACTTAGCATGAGTTAATATTTTAACTGGTAAACATAGAGATTGTAACAAGCTAACCTAATAGCTCTGATTGAGGAAAATATGGCACTTTTGATAAATTCTATTAAGGGTCTCCCTTCTGACAACATTGTTGAGAGAGATTGCCAAAAGAAGGGTAGTTGATGTATTTTAAGAAGGGAAAAGGGAAGGAGAACAGAAAATAGAAGGAAAAAAAAAAATTGAAAGATTTACTCACGCTTGCAAGNTTAAGAAGGGAAAAGGGAAGGAGAACAGAAAATAGAAGGAAAAAAAAAAATGAAAGATTTACTCACGCTTGCAAGGAATAGGTGAAGAAACACACAAATACTCCATCAAATTCTAATTAAATTTCACTCAGGTAAAACATAAGTTTCACCGATATTTATAATCCACTCTCTTACCAAAACCTAAATTACTTTTTTGTTCAAACTGTTACTACTAGAATTACTAAAACACTCATACTCAAATAAATAAATAAATAGCACCTAATACCATAATCCAGGAATAATAAATAGGATAAACCTAATAAAACTACAAAGTTTCATTCAATCCTATTCTGATTGCCTTCAGTAGTGACCTTGTTAACAAAATGATCAAGTTATTGGGGATGCACCTCTTCCATCAACATTGGTTTCTGAGCACCCAGTATGCGGATCTGGCAAGTAGACAATACAGAATGAGGAAATATTCCACCATGACTAGAAGAGAATTCCTTGCGCAGCTCATCAAGCTTAAACTCCAACCCCGAAGATCTACTTCGTTTGGAAGATTTCATGGCGCCATGGTTATTCTTCGGGCTGCTACAAACCTCAACCTTAACAATCTTCTTTCCTGAGTGTCAGAATGGGAGTTACTACAACAGTAAATGCACAACAGACACAACAAAATATGCCAAAAATGTAGGCTTGGTAGTTGGTAGGAAAGCAAAATTCCAGTTTAGTGGACACTTTTAGAAGGATGGCCAACTAATAGTAAAATCTAGGTAGTTCACATCCCTCATCATTCTTACTCCTTGCATGGATGTCAACGTACGGTAAAAGTCCTTCCACTTATAAACCAGACCTTATAACAAACTAGATTGGATGATTGATCTAAAGTTATAAGGTAGACAGGTTGACAGGAGTGAATAGTGGATCATGTTAAACCCATTGATAGAGTACAATTGTTGAAAAGATATATTCATTGTAGGTCAACATCTGTCTATGCATCTTATGTAAAACAAGACACTGAATGAGTGCCGAAGATTTGAAAGCATTCACATCATTCTGTCAAAAATAAGAACTTGCAGGACACTGCAAAGCATTATATCGGTCCTACTCCAGAGTAAAAGTATTTCCAACTGATCCAAGAATACATATGAAGCACTGCAGTGGTGGTGATCTAATCCATCTGTGAACTGTATTGTATGCAATATGGAAAAATAAAAAAAAAATTAGGATGCAGATACACTAAATTTTAGTTTATATTTTTACTATTTTCGAACAACTTCGTAATTATAATTTCTAATAACTTCTTCAAAAATAATACAAAAATTAGTAATTTTAACTTTCAAGAAAGTATTGATCATCTCATTATAGTATATAAAGTGAATGTGACTAATTAGACAAATTAGTACTAAGATTTAACTAGTTGGCTTGGTTAGGAATTCTTATTATCAAGATATGTGGTGTAATTAGTTCATTTTATACTCTTTTGATAAGTGATAATAGATAATACTTGAGAAAAAATCACGTATCTTAAAATTTGTATGAATTTTTTCTTCAAGTGTTGCATTTTATGTGAATTCAAAAGGAAAAGACAGTTTAAAATTTTTTTAAAAAATACATATTGCTCTACTTATGCACTTTAATATCTGAAGCATACGCATTGTCGATATATATCGGCAAAGTATCCAAATATTTTATTATAACCGGAGATATATGGTGTGTATCTGATATGTATCCTCGAGTCCGATACTGTATCCGGAAAGGATATGTCGACCTTAACAATATCATTATTTCATAGGATGTCCGGCAGACTCATAAAAGTGTATGTACACAAGTCCATAGCATGAAAAATCTACAAAACGATTATACTGGACAAGTGTCTGCTTGCCTGATTTGCACTGTACCTTCAGCTGTAATTAGCTAAATTACCAATCATGTGTGTGCTAACAACTGCATTCCACAAACTACCAGCAATCATCAAGATTTCCAGAGTTTCTAAACTAACGATCTTTCAAAAGAGAAACATTACCTTGCGTTACTTGCTTAGCAAGTGGTCCTATAGTCACATAAGCATTTGTAGCATANGCAATCATCAAGATTTCCAGAGTTTCTAAACTAACGATCTTTCAAAAGAGAAACATTACCTTGCGTTACTTGCTTAGCAAGTGGTCCTATAGTCACATAAGCATTTGTAGCATAAGCTGTATGCTGAAATTCTTCTTTCTGCACAAAAATGAAGGTGCTAATACATGAAAAAAGCCACACAAAACCATATCAAGAAATTTCATTGTATGCATTAATCAGGAGGCAAAAATCAGTCANTAAGCTGTATGCTGAAATTCTTCTTTCTGCACAAAAATGAAGGTGCTAATACATGAGAAAAGCCACACAAAACCATATCAAGAAATTTCATTGTATGCATTAATCAGGAGGCAAAAATCAGTTATCACAGATAAGGAGTATCACTCATGTAGTATGATCCATGAGGCACTAGTTTGGACACAGGATATAAATGAGACACAACATGTACACAGTTAGAACACACTACAACTAATTGTGCTTTATACATTATATTTTATATTTATACATATCCATACACACACACACACACATTGGAATCACTCCACTGTTACTTTGATTGAAAAATCACTCTGATACCACTTTGTTGGAGTCAAAATGATTAGAAATGAAATGGAAGAAGTAGAGGACGAAACAACTAAAAAAAATTATTCAAGTTGATTACAACTTACACTCAACTTGGACTCTTCAAATACTTTTCTTAACTTTACTTCTTACACTAGACTATATGTCTTATTTAGGGGTGTAAAACATGTCGGGTTAAACGGTTACGTGTCAGGTTAAACGGGTGATAGGTGAAAAATATATAAACACATACACGACATATTTAATAAACGGATAAAAAACTTAAACACGANCTTCAAATACTTTTCTTAACTTTACTTCTTACACTAGACTATATGTCTTATTTAGGGGTGTAAAACGTGTCGGGTTAAACGGTTACGTGTCAGGTTAAACGGGTGATGGGTGAAAAATATATAAACACATACACGACATATTTAATAAACGGATAAAAAACTTAAACACGAACACGAACCGTTTAATAAACGGGTAACACGACACGACTCGTTTAACACGTTTAATTTTATTAAAATTTTAACCCACACCAAAAAACTATTCTATTAAAATTTTAAACTCCATTAATTACTCGCAACAACTGAACTCTCAATTAAAAGATTTCTAGTTGACTGCCACTTGTAAAAGCAAGTGAGAAGGTTGAATGACTAAAGAAAGGGNCACGAACCGTTTAATAAACGGGTAACACGACACGACTCGTTTAACACGTTTAATTTTATTAAAATTTTAACCCACACCAAAAAACTATTCTATTAAAATTTCAAACTCCATTAATTACTCGCAACAACTGAACTCTCAATTAAAAGATTTCTAGTTGGCTGCCACTTGTAAAAGCAAGTGAGAAGGTTGAATGACTAAAGAAAGAGGCTACAACCTTTTATAGGCATAAGAGATCTCCTTCATTTAAATTTGTCAATGTGGGATTCAAACCAAAAGCTTTCACTGTGTTCACTGTGCAGACCCACAATAAGACTCTGTAACATCAAGAATATCATACACCACCTAAAACTCAAACCATGCTCAAACCAAGACTGTGTTCACCCCAGCACCACCGCAGCCTCCAACATTTTGACTAAGCACCACCGTAGTCTCCAACAATGCTCAGACCCCAGCTTCCAATATTTTTGACTAAATTTTTTTAAATAGTAATTAATTTTTTATAATATTAAATTTTTAAACGGGTGATAAACGAGTTGATAGGTCTCACCCGAATACGACCAGTTTATTAAACGTGTTTAACAGATTAACCCGTTTATCACTCGAATCCGTTAAGGTCTCACCGAAACCCGCTTAATTTGTGTCGGTTAATCGTATCGTGATAAATTTTGACAAACCTAGTCTTATTTATATAGATATCACGCATACTCATAACTATGAATTAATATGTCACTACCTACACTAACTCTTGTAACTCCTAAAATATTAAGACAACTCTCTCCATTACTTGGGGAATTAACAACTACTAATACTCTTGTTTTCCACTACTTGGTTATTTCTTACCCACTAACACACACTAAATTAAGACACCTTAATAATATGATAAAATTCTAAAATAAATTTAATTTCCTTAAACTTGATTTTATAACTTCAAATCCTTCTCTTGCAATTCTCTTACAATTAAAGAACATCTTGTCACACCAAAAATAGATATTTAGTGAATCTTCCATGATCTTCATAACTGCAATGAGGCTGTAACAGTGAGTTATCTAAACTTCAACGGTCATCAAATTAGGTCTAAAAGCGAATTATATAGACTTCCAGGATCGTAAAATTGGCTCTGATACCAATTTATTTGAATTGCTCAAATGTTACTTTGATTGGAAAATCACTCTGATACTACTTTGATTGAATCAACAGGGTTAGAAAAAAAATAGAATTAAGTAGAGGAGGAAAATGGAAATAACTAAAAAAAATTATTCAAGTTGATTACAACTCACACTCAACTTTGACACTTCACATATTCTTCTCAACTCTACTTCTTACACTAAACTATATGTAATAATATGCCACTACATCCGCTAACTCTTGAAACTCCTAAAATATTAAGATGCCNACTTTGACACTTCACATATTCTTCTCAACTCTACTTCTTACACTAAACTATATGTATTAATATGCCACTACATCCGCTAACTCTTGAAACTCCTAAAATATTAAGATGTCAATTTCTCAATTACTTGGGGTAATAACACTCACTAATGCTCTACTTCCACTACTTGTGTATATTCTTTGCCCACTAACACACACCAAATTAACACAACTTAATAATATAATAAAACTTTAAAACAAGTTTATTTTTCAACATACACATACACACATATATATGGGATGTATGCACGTGCTTTCTATATCAAGTAGATTCTTTATCCATAGAATAAAGTAACTAGGCATACCTATCTCTTTCATATTTCTATGAAGTTTCTTTACATATATATGATATATGTATGTATGGATATGCATATTTATGTAGCACACGAAGTGCATTATTATTTCATGATAAGTAATCTTATGTCTGGTACTCTACTATGACTTTTCAAACTAGTGGACCACTGTAGTTAATAATAACCCACTTCTTACAAACAAAGTGTACAAGCACTAATAATTCCTCTCATCTTCCCTATCACTCTTCTTCATAAAAACCGCTTTCTTAGGTAAAACTTGAAATCGGTCATTCTAATCGTATATTTTTCCTTGGTAGGAATTGGAGGATACCATACCCCTTTATGTTATTAATGGGCTTTATAGACTTGAGAAATTAAAATTTTGCATTCCACACTTTGAAAGCAAACTAAGTATTAGCATAAAAACATGGACACAGTTTGCGAGGATATGCAACTTTGGGCTCATAAATCAAATGTTGGAAGAGTGAGGTCCTTACCAAAACGTGATCTACTATAAGCTTTATCACAAGTTGTTCTAATTCATCTCTCTTTAGCTCAGTCCCTGAGTCAATACCAAAAAAGTCAACTCAGCTGTAAAATAGATATTCATTTATTAGGTCAAAGGAGAATAAGAGACATGAAAAAGTAACAATAACTATGCATAACATTCCATATTATGCCTTAGATTACAAATCTAACTGACTAATATTTATTGCCATTAAAGAATTATTATTTCTGCAAAAACACACTGAACAAACGAAAAATCCTCAAACACTAAATTATTAGGAAAATAGAACATCTACTAGAATTAGAAAACATGGATTTAAGCCCATTTTCTTAATGAATAAAATTTGATAGTTATATCGCCACCATTGCATAGCGCATAGGTTATTCCATATGCTCTAGCGCCCCGGCCAACACCTGATTCTATCGAGGTCCTTACTTTTGAAATACCTACTATATCATCCTCTTCTAATTTGCTAAATGAACTTCGAAAACGTACTCTTCCTTGTACTCAACATCTCATCTCTAATTTTGTCTCTTTGCATCGGCTCTCCTCATGCTTCCACTTTTTAGCATGTCAAAAACACGAGCCTTCTTCAATACTTCCTAAGGATTGAGGTTGCTCGATCAAAGGAAGATATTAACCTGTGTCAGCAAAAGTATATCTTAAACTGGTACTCTTTGTGCACATCCAATTGATACGCCTATGGACTCTACAATTAAGTAGGATCTTGAGAATGGTGAAGCAATTGATGATATAAGGCATTATCCAAGGTTGGTTGATAAGTTGATTTACCTTAAAGTTACACGTCCTGATATTATATATGTTGTTGGTGTAGCTAGTCAGGTTATGCATGCTCCTCGTAAGCCTCATTAAGAGGCTTTCTGTCATATACTTCGATATCTAAAATGAGCTTCGGAGAAAGGATTGTTATATTGTTCATCATCATCCATAACCGAAGTGATTTTTTAGACATTGACTGGACAAGTAGTCATGGTGATATATAATCTCCTTCTAGTAATTGTACATTTGTTGGTGGCTAGGAAGCACAAAGATAGATACAGGATACAAATACAATGCGATACAGATACGGCGATACGACAAAACCTTAAAAAAAAGATACAAGTACGGTCAAAATATGTTTATAGTTAAAATATATTTTATATTTTAACATTATTAAACAACTTTAAAATTATAATTTTTTAGTAATTCTTTAATAATAGTAAACAAAATTAGCAACTTTTACCTTGAAAAATGTGTAATACCATCTTATTATAATATATTCATAAAGTGAACGTGATCAATTAAAGGAATTAGAACCAACATTTAATTAGTTAGTTTACTTACAAGTATTTGTTTCTAAGGTTATAGTGAAACTAACTCATTTTTTTATACTCTTGTGACATGTTACAGTAGATAATACTTAAAAAATACTCGTGTTTTCAAAGTCAAATCGAATTTTGTTGATATTTTGTTTTGGATGTAAACTTGAAAGGAAATGTTATAGATTAAAATTAAAAATTACACATCTTGCTCCATGTATAGAAATATTCGTGAATCATCCACATTTTATTAATTTTCGGATACGTATGATGAGTATCCAATAGTATCCTCGAATATCTAACAAGTATCTTATCCTGTATGGTATCCAATACGAGTATGTCGACCTTGACGAAGTATACGTCCTGTAGAGGTTGAGTGTAGGACAACCTAGCCATACATTGATTATTCTCTCATTTTTTTCTCTCCTCTTATTCTCTTATAACCCTAACCTCATATTACTGTTACTATTTCAACTTTCTAGAACTGCATACAATACATAGGACCCTTGTTGGGTTTATATAGTTACACCAATTA